GAGAGGTTGATTGGGTGGCTCAGGGGCGGGAGAAGAGGGGGGTGGGAGGAGAGGGGGTAACGTACGTTGTGCGAGTTGGAGACAAGCTTGGGTTGGGGTCGGGCGAGGAATGAGTATGGTCGGAATGTGATCAGGGTGGGATTGGGATAAGGCCAAGAAGGAGTCGAGAAGGAGTCGAGGGAGGGTCAGGGTCGACAGTCGGCAAGGATAGGACTGGTTAAAGTTGAGATCGGGGCGAGAAGAGAGTGGTGTCAGTTCGAGGTTGGAGTGGGATCGAAATGGGAGCCGGGTGGGATCAGAGTTGGGAGAGGGGTGAGGATGATGTTGTGGCCGGTTGGGGTGGAGGTGGTTCAAGTTTGAAGTAAGGACCGGGACGAGATTGGGAAGAGGAGGAAGTGGGGTGAGGTTAGGACTGAAATAGGATCGAGAAAATGACGGTATAGTCCGGGATGGGTGAGACGTGGTCGGGGTGGTAGAAAGATCGTGGATGAGAGTTGGGAGAGGGTGGTGTCGAAGAAGAGTTAAGGGATCGGGGGTGGGATCGGTATGGGATCGGGATGGGGTTGGGTTGGTATCGGGGGGATCGGGATGGAGTCGGGTAGAGATTGGGATGGGATCGGGATGGGTTCGGGTTGGGATCGGGATAGGGTCGAGAATGCAATGGGATGAGGTCGGGATGGGATGAGATAGGATCGAAATGCGGTTGCGTTGGGATCGGGATGGGACTGGGATAGGATCGGGATGGGGTCTGGGGGAGAATGAGATGGGGGCGAGGTAGATGTACCTCGGAGGTGGGAGGGGATTGGAATCGAAGATGGGTTAGGAGAGATGTGGGAACCGAAATGCGTCAGCTTAGGAGCCAAGTGGTGGAGTTGGGTTGAGACTGGGATGGGGTCGGGATGGGTTCGGGTTGGAATCAGGATGGGGTCGGGGTTGTCTCAGATTGAGGGATTGGGATAGGGTCGAATTGGGATTGAGATGGGGTCGGGATGGGGTCGGGATAAGGTCGGATAACGAGGCGAGAGCGAGGGGGGGATGAGGAGGATGCGCTTCGGAAATGGGATGAGATTGAGATTGAGGTCGGGTTGAAAGGGACGTGGATTGGGGTCGCGGTTGGGATCGAAGTTGGGATAGGATGGGATCAAGGTTGGGAACGGGAGGCAAGGAGGTTGGGGTCCAGGTTGGGATCGAAGTTGGGATCGGGGTTGGGAACGGGAGGAAAGGAGGTTGGGAAAGGAGGTTGGGATTACTGTTGGGGTTGGGGTTGGGATCGGGGTTGAGATCGAAGTTGGGAACGAGGAAGGGAGTGGATCAGAACCGGGAGTAATCGGGATCAATCGGGGTTGGGAACGGGTGGTCGCAGTGGATCGCGGTTGAGCCGGATCGAGATTGGAACGCGGTCGAAATCAGGGGTAAGCGGGGTCGAGGTTGGGAACAGGATAGAGAACGATGTTGGGATCACGGGTGGGGTCGAAGGGGATCGGGTTCCCGCCTAAAATTAGTGTTAGAATGTGGGCAATCGAAAGTAGAGGTGGGATGCGTGGCAAAATGGCGATTTTGGGTTAACTTGTCCGTGGGAGGCGCCACGTTTGGGGCTGGAGGAGAGGAGCAACTGGCAGTAGATGTCAGTGTGGAAATGGAGGGTAGTCTTGTGAGTGGGGAGTCGACCAAATGGGCAGCGCTTGCCCTCCCCTGTTGGGGATCAGACTACAATAGGAGCAAGCGAGAGAAAAAGGAAGGGGTGGACCGATCTAGGGGGAGAATGTCGGGTATGCGAGACGACATTGGCGAGAGGGATGTTGTCAGGGTTGGGTTGGGATGAGGATCGAACGAGAGTTGGGTGCGAGTCAAAGTGAGTCGGGGAAGGTGGCAGAGTGGGAGAGGTTGGGGTGAGGTTGGAGTCGGGTGGGAAATTGGGTGGGATGGGGTTGGGGAGAGAATCAATAGGATGATGGGGATCGGAGTGAAACAGGAAAGAGGTTGGGAAGGAGAGGTTGGGAAGGAGAAGCAATCGAAGAGTGAGTGGACAGGAGTCAGTCAGAGGGGGGTGGAGATGGAGTTAGTTTGAGCGAAAGTCCGTGGCATGGGATCACGATAGATACGGTCGGAACGAGGAAGGGGGCCGGATGCGGGAATTAGCAGGTTGCTCTCACTCGGACGTGCTGATCTTCGTCTTCGTGGAGCTCCAGAATTCGGTGACGGCTGAATGTCGTTCTCTTCCGATCTTCGACGTTGTCCAAGTCTTTCTTCGCGGTGGCAAGGGCGCGTGCGCGCCTCTTCAAGTCCGGGCAATGCCCTCTTAGCGGCTTCCCTCATGCGTTCATCTTACTCGGTGGTCATGGAGGAGCGCGCGCGCACGGGGCGCGCGCACGTAGTGTCCGACGTGGGTCGGGCTATGGCGAGTGCGCGGTCTCCAGTGCTGGTTCGAATCGAAGCCCATGTGGGGCCGGGAGACGGCGCGGCGCGAGCGCAGCGATGCGCTAACCGGACGGCGCTAGCGCAAGTTTACCCACAAGCGCTCCAGAAGACGGCAATCCTAGTCATTCGAAATACCGAGATACTACAGGTCGAACCCTGCCATGCAAATTTCTCTCTTTTCAGTTTTTCACAAATTTTCAGACTTTTTCAGGATTTTTAGTATTTTTTTTAACCAATGAGCCTAGCTCGGTTGGTACACCCATGAATTGTTGAAATACACACCCAAGTTCGAATCCAGATGAATGACATGAAAAGTATTAAAAACTTAATTAAAAAGTATTTTCAGGATTTTCAGGGCTGGCCAAAACAGTAATCTCCAAGACCCCAACAAACACCACACTTGGCACATGCAGACCTTCACCAAACATAAAACAGGGTTAACAAAACACAAAAAAAATAAAAATAAAAAAAAATCCCCAAGTCCATTTTTCAGGGCGGGTGGGGGAAGGTGGGGGGCACCCGTTAACCACCACTTGTGGCCATGCCACATGGCTTTGACACAAGGGTTCTCTAACTTCTCTTCCACCAGTTCTCCCGTGTTCTTAGTTTTTTTGTTGGAGGTCAGTTTTGTCCGTCAACAGTTCTCCCGTGCAATTTTTTTGACTGTTCATGGTCAGCAGTTCTCCTGCGTTAAGTTGCCGTTCAGTCTACACCTTGACCGCATTTTTTTGTTGAAGCCTTGAAAGTCGATTCTGAAACGCGTTAAGTTGACGTTGAGTCAACTTATAAATTGCATGGGAGAAGTGTTGACTCTGAAGGTCAACTCTGAAATGCGTTAAGTTGACCTTGAGTCAACTTATAAATTGCATTGGGGAACTGTTGACCCTGAAGGTCAACTCTGAAACGCGTTGAGTTGCCGTTGAACAGTTTACACCTTGACTCAAGTGCATGGCCCAGTCTGGGTTCCATGGGTGTGTTAAGTATATGGAATGCCAATTCTGAAACGCGTTAAGTTGCCGTTAACAGTTTATGGCAACAGTTATTCCATGGAACCCAAACTGGGACAATGTGTGTATGCTGTGGGGGCCACTGAACAGGAAAGCGGTGTGAACTTCGTGCAAGTTGGTGGATCATTGCAGTTGTCAAATTAAATGCAACAAGAGGCAGGGTATCTTGCGCTGTGCTACTCCATTTTTTTTGGCAAGAGACTTGTGAGGAAGACCAGCAGGAGTGATGAAGAAGTTAAGAAGAGCACTTGGGGGGAGAAGTCACAGAAAAGAAAGGCAACCTTCAGTGCAAAGTTGGACAATATTGTTTGCTCGATAGAGTCAGTAGAATGGATGGATGGATGGTCGATTCTGATTCACCTTGTTGACTCAAGTGCAGGAAGTGCCGCAGGCTGTGTGGAAAATTGGAGATGGAGCCCGGGTCTTAGACCTGGGGAGTAATCATTTGCAAGAGCTTCCAGAAGATGTATCGCTGCTTCGTCAACTTGAGGTGCAAACCTCTCTCTCTCTCTCTCTCTCTCTCTCTCTCTCTCTCTCTCTCTCTCTCTCTCTCTCTCTTNCTCTCTCTCTCTCTCTCTCTCTCTCTCTCTCTCTCTCTCTCTCTCTCTCTCTCTCTCTCTCTCTCTCTCTCTCTCTCTCTCTCTCTCGCCTTTGTTTCTTTCTTTTGCCCTTGAATCATCGTTGCCTTTGGGTCTCTTGTCACCCTTATCAGTAAGTCAACATGTCAGCCAGTCAGCCAGTTTGTCTGTCTGTTCTGCCTGTTCTCTCTGTTCTACCTGTCTGCCTGCCTGCCTGCCTGCCTGCCTGCCTGCCTGCCTGCCTGCCTGACCGTCCGTCCATCTGTCCCCCCTCTTTTTTTTTAATTAAATCATTGACGCCTTTGCCTCTCCTGTCACCCTTCTCAGTCGATTGCTTCGTTTGTGGATCATCATTTCCTTTGGGTACGGCTTGCTCACGTGCAAGCTAGTGTTATGATTCTGGTTGCCCGTTGTCTGAAGACCAACATTCACTCACATAGACTTCCAGGTATGCCCATACATACACAGAAGGAAGGGGAGAGGATAGGAGTATCACACCACACAGGGAGAGATAAACACAGCAGAAGACTTGACCATGCGATATGACAGGGTACACTGAAAGTGCAATTCACTCCACTCAATCCTCACAACCAGTCATAAAGAAAGCTGAGTAGATCACATCCAGGAAACAATGAAACGATGATAGTCCAAACCCAGTATTACACTGTTTATTAAACTCAAAGTCTCGAATTGTCAGGATAACCTCAGAACTACAGTGCGCTGCTTAGAAGTGAGCAGCGCTTCACTCCCCAACCCTGAGTAACCACTCGTAACACCCCTGAGCCCCTAAAACATCAAGCGCCACCCAAGTACTGCCATTAGAGGACAGTGTCACCCCGAAACAGGCCTCTGAGGCCAAGCGCCACTCAGAGGGGGAAGAAGAAGACCAGCGCCACAATATCTGATGATGACGAAGTGTCGAAAGACTTCCCGGGTGGAAGTCTGCAGCAGCGCCACCACTCCTGAAAAGATGACCTCTGAGAAAGAAGCTGCAGCGCCGCTACCCTGGAACCCCACTCCGGAGGAGGGTCCAGCAGGGCACCAACTTCTCTCGCCTCCAGCAGACCTCGAATAACCCAGACCTTTGACAGCCCCGCGTGCCGACAGAGTACAGTGCAGGTCCCAGCTGTGGCCGACACTCCGAAGGTCTGGCTATGTCTGTCTCCCACAACACTGAGCCGTCACCAGTTCCGGTTCATGCGTAGCGCAGCAGCGGTGTACTCGGTACCAACTGCCAAAAGCCCTGAACCGATGTGCCCATCCTATCTATAGTCTAAACTAGCCTAGACTCGACCTAGACCGGACTGACTGACTGACTGACTGGTACCATTTGCTGTTTCGGCCTCTAGGGCCTCTCCCTACCCGGCCATAGGTATAGGACCATCTATCAGCTTAGGCCCTTAGGCTTGTCTGTCCTAGGGGTAGCCCGGGCCTGCTACTCGCAGTTAGGGTAGCGGTAGGAAATTCAGTTAGTGCTGGTCTTGTATTATCCGGAATTTGCAGATACGTCCCTCACGAATTTCCCCTACAGGTAGGTCTCTCGGTTAGCCCTCAGCCAAACAAAATTACGACTCTACCCTACCTATGATACAGCCTCGACAAGAGAGAGGCTACATGTGACCAGAAACCAGCAAGTCATTGCAGACCTACCCTCCCCCGGAGTGAGGACCTCCGAGCTAGGGGCGTAGGCGTGCAGAGCGTCGAAGGGGTTCTCCCTTCTGTGCTGCCTCATACCTAAGGATAACAGACTTTGCGGTTTTCGGAAGTTCCCTGCGAGTAAACAAGCGATCTTCAGTATGCGGATGGTATAAGAACTTCACAAGGTATTCCTTATCCGGACCTGTACTTGACTCATCCTCCACAAATTCCACCTCATATCCCTTGCCAGGAATAGGGGGACCGAACTGAGGAGGCGTGTCTGGAAATGCATCGGCTGATGTGAATGGCAACAACTTAGATGCATGAAAGACAGGGTAGGTTTGTAGATGTAGAGGGACATCCACTATATAGGATGGTCCAAATGGATCAGCTCCACTGTATCTAAGATCTGCCATGGACCCATGTATCGTGGCAATAGCTTAGGCAAAATGTACTCCTCTCGTGACAACTCAGAATTAAGTACCCACACCCAGTCACCTGTGCGAATAGTAGAGGGGTGTCTGTCCCGGTTAGCTTGCTGAATCATACCCTTTTGGGCTTTGTGCAGGTTGGCACGGGCGAGCTCAATGTCCACACGGTAACACCTGGTGAACTTTGCAGTTCTAGGTGTTAGCGTCGAGGTAGCCTTATCGATGATGTCATCGAGAGGCTGTCGTGGCTCACGACCCCGATGTAACCGGTAGGGTGTAAAGCCTATGGAGGAGTGTACAGACGTGTTATATACAAGTTGTGTACGACCCGAATGGAGATCCCAATCCTGTTGATCTGGACTGATCACAGGACGCAGCAACTGAAATAAAATCTGGTTCATCACTTCAGCATGTCCATTGGCTTCATGATGACGACCAGATGTCATATCCAGTCTGGAATGAAGGTAATCCCTGCAGTAGGATTGCCATTCATTGCTGCAAAAATGAGGATCTCGGTCACTGACTATAGAGGTGGGTGGTCCATGATATGTGACCCACCTGTCAACATATGCCTCCTGGACGGCTGGAACGCGAGCCTCAATTGGTAAGGGGATGAACTCTGCGTATTTGGAAAACCGATCCACACAGACCGTGACCTGACGGATCCCACGAGGTGTGGTCCTACCCAAGTCAGTAAAGGCAATAGACACTGACTGTGCAGGTGCTTCAGGGATGGGTAGTGGTTTGAGTAGGCCAAGGTGAGGTCGGCGTACTACCTTGTTCCTTTGGCACAACTCACTGTTTTCCACATAGTGCAGCATGTCACTCCTCATCTCCTTCCAGAAGAAGCGCCGCGACAGGGCTGCATACGATTTGAGGGCCCCAAAGTGCCGACGAGCATCATGACACTTTGACATCAGAAGTGTTTTCAACTTGCGGTCCTGGGGAATGCACAGGCGTTCCTCACCTTTGCTGCAAGTATACAACAGGTGTGAAACCAGAGTATATCCTGGTTCAGATGCAGGACCATCCTGAAAATTCCTCACGATAGGCCCAAAAATCGCATCGTGGGGCAGCAACTGGGCAATGGTCTAACGAGTCTTATCACCAAATGAGTGAGTGAAGGAGATCAGAAAGAGAGCGTCAGGACTACGAGAAAGGGTGTCTGCTACTCGATTGTAGCAGCCCTTCTTGTGTTTCAGTTCAAAGTCAAACATGTCAATGAAATGAATATAGCGAGCAAGCTTGTCGTTCAGTTCTCCCTGGGACTTTATCCACTGCAAGGTGGAGTGATCTGAGAAGATCTTGAAGAATCTGCCCCGGAGGAAGTGCTTCGAGTGCTTGAGCGTTGACACAAGAGCATAGAGCTCTTTCTCATAGGTAGAGTTCTGCGTCTTCTTTGTTTTGATCTTCTTTCTCATGTATTCAATAGGCTGCAGACCATTCCCATCATCCTGTTGAAGTGCCGCCCCTACACCATACTGACTAGCATCAGTGGTAAGCACAAAAGGCAAATTAGGGTCAGGTAGCTTCAAAACAGGGGCACAAATCAAGGCCTCCTTGAGACGTGTGAAAGCCTCCTGACACTCTGAGGTCCAAAGAAAGGAAGTGTCTTTCTTTGTGAGGTCAGTCAGAGGAGCTGCAATAGAAGAGAAGTTCTAGATGAACTTTCTATAATAAGGACATCACGAATGTTAGCAGGCCACGGCCAGTCCTGAACTGCAGCAACTTTCGTTGCTTCAGGAGCCAACCCCTCTCCAGGAATAACGTGCCCTAGATAGATCACAGAGGGAACCCCAAAAGAGGATTTCTCCCTGTTGATCTTATACTGGTTATCGCGTAAGGCCTGGAGGGCCAGAGCCAGATGCTGCGCATGCGCCTGGACAAAGCGACTGAATACCAAGATATCATTCACGTAGACAACTACGAACTTGTTCTAGTAAGGCCTAAGTATGTGGTGCATCTCTGGCTGGAAGGTGTCTGGGGCATTGCAAAGACCGAAAGGCATGACCATGTACTCATAAGTACCATATCTGGTCTTGAAGGCTGTCTTGTGGACATCACCTTCAGCCATCTCAATCTGGTGGTAGCCAAATTTGAGATCGATCTTGCTAAAAATGGTACAGCCCTGCACCATATCCAACAGATCATCAATGCGAGGAAGAGGCTCTGTAGACTTCCTCGTGATTTTATTGAGACCCCGATAATTCACGCACATCTTGAACTCACCATTCCCCTTTGGAACAAAGAGGACTGGGGCCCAAACTCAGATGTGCTGGGTCGGATCCAGCCCTTGCTGGTCAGGGTCTCTAACTGTTTTCTGAGCTCATCGAGTTCAGCATGTGACATCCTGTAGACCCGGCCCTTGGGAGGGACCGAACCAGGCAGGATCTCAATCTTATGTTTGGTCTGCCTATGGACAAGTCCAGTAGACTCCTCAATCAGATCTGAGAAGCGGTTAACCACCTGCTGAATTTGAGAGGGACAGGAAGCAGTCTCCACATCAGTCTGTTTAAAATAAGCCACAAACAGACGGGTGTGGTCAGTCTGGCGTGAGAGTCACAGAAATCTGCGAGCACTCATGCAGTAGCAACTGCTGGGCGGATGGTACTCATCAGCAAGCAAACGAGGGCGATGAACCCCATGCCGGATGGTACTCATCAGCGATGAACCCCATGCCGGTTAGACCCCTTGACAGTAGTAGTGATCCTGACTGTGGAAGAGTCGCCAATGCAAACCTCTATAGGCTGTCGCAATTTCACTAACCTTTGATCCAAGTGAAACTTGCTGACTGCCTTGGGAGATATGAAGTTGCAAGTAGCCCCTCAGTCTAAGAGCCCTTT